GGAAGAAAACCTTGACTTTTTCCCTGTCGGTGTGGGCCAGGCGTACTTTTTCCTAGCGCCGGAGCCCCCAACGGCACCCCAGCGCGTCGGGTTAGGCCTGTGACCGCCGGGCGAAAAAAAAGGTCCGAACCGACGATTTTCGGGCGTCCTGGAGGCGTGACTGGGCCGTTTTTTCGATACCGGCGCTGAAAAAGTGGCTTGGGAGGATTTGTTGGGGGCGCGGCTGGAGATGCCCACCGGGGACGAGGCGACGAACGGGCCCTGGCAAGTGGCGACGAGACGAGGCTACCATTCCTTTCCTGTAGCCAGGATCGAGAATTGCCCTGCGAGATGATCCCCGATGGCAGGGACGATCCCGATTTGTTTCCTGTGGCCCGATGCCGATCCGATCCATGTAGCGATCCTTTTTTTCTTTTGAGAAATTGTAGCGCTCGTGTTTAGATGAGTAGGACGAGGATTGCGCTCGACGGCCTCGTCGCCTCTCTCCAGCCCAACTCCAGCGCCAGTAGGCCCGGTACCGCTTAGTTTTTTTTTCTAATACTAGGCCTATATAAAAATTTGGGCCCCCCCAGAATTTTGGGCCTTGTGCGGGCCGCACATTTGGCACCACTGTGGGCCCGGCCCTGCACACAGCCGCACTCATTCACATGTGGTTTACTGAATGTCGGAGTCGTGGTTCTTCACGACTGCGAAAATGTCACGATTATCCTGTTCAAAAAAAATGTCACCATTATGATAGAAATGGTTTGCAGTGAAGAATAATCCACGAAATGAGACATGCGATAAGGTGCAAACGCGCACACGGACATTCCATCGCCGTCAGCATGCAGTGCAACGGAGTTCAAATTGAGGATTCAAAGGTGTAAGTTTCAGAACGAAGAAAAAAAATGTGGCCCAACCAGTGATTTGTTGGGCCCGGCCGAGATCATACACGCGATGCAGCCATCGGGCTGGGCCGGGCCGTACGAGATCATCACGGGCTTTTCTGCCTTAGCCGGAAGGGAAAACTGACCCAGGGTTACCGGGCCGGATTTCTCGAAGAGAAAGAAGGGAGAGCGGCGGGGCCGGCGAGAGAGGCAGGCGAAATGGCGAGCTCGTCATCCGAGGCGGCGCCGCCAGTCGCCGCCGGCGAGGATCCAGCGGCGCCCGCAAAGGGACAAGAGAGGACGAAGAAGGAGAAGACGAGGGTGGTCTTGCCGCAGTTCCACCTGGACACGCTCATGAGGGCCGAGGAATTCCTGGAGCCTCTGCCGCCGCCGGACGAGGAGTTTCTTGCGCAGGTCCGGGAGCAGCGCGGACAGAAGGGCTTCGTCGAGATAGATCTCACCGACGACGAGGAGGAGGAGGATGAGGAGGAGGAGGAGAAGGAGGGAGGAAACGCAGCTCCCCCGGCTGGAGGAAGGGGATCTATGGAGGAGGACAAGTTCAGCCCCGAGGTCACCAAGAAACCCAGCGACGGCGACGGCGGCGGCAGGATTCGTCGGTTGATTGGTAACTGATCCTTAATCCGGCCTCCTGTCCTGCTGCTTAATTCTGAAACTGCTGTAGGATATGTCATGGGTATGTTCTGTTCTCTCATGTTTACTGTTGTCGAATTCTGAATCTGCTGTAGGATATGTTATTATGGGTATGACTGGAATGGATGATATATGCACCGGTGTTGGTTATGCGCGCACTGATTATGGATCACTCTGAACTCCACTGAAATGGGTGTCATTTTGATTGTATTTTGCATAACTAACTGACACTAGTAGTCACACAAATCACATATGCACACACCACACAAGGCACAAGAACAACATCGTAACCGTCAGCTGCACACCATCAAGAAAAAAAAGCTCACCGCTCTTCCCTCCCAAACATGTTAAAAGTTACTGTATCTAATACTCACATTAGCAAGCACACAATGCTCTGCCTTGATCGCCCTGATAGACTATATCCACAAGTCATAAGCGACATCTTCTAGCAGTTCATCCAGCAAGAATTCCCATATTTCCACAACAGTCTCCTCACTTTCCGATCGAAGATCCATCCAAGTCCCCTCTTCCAGATCCATGTTAATTAGCTGGTTCAATGTGCTTGGAAATTCATAGCAGAGATGGCCCTCAATGTGCTTATTTATTTCTGAGATGAGCTTCTGTCCCATTGGAGGTGCCTGTATGTTTTGTCTGACAAAAGATAAGCAATGGGGGCTTCCAAAGTGTTTCCCCTGTATTGCGGTTATAGCTTCACAGATGCAGTCAAAGAAGAGCATGAAATCATCAGTTTGATGATTGCCTTGAAGTAGTTCTTCAAACAGGCAAGGGCTGACCAATTCATCTTCTAGATACCATACATCCAAGTTCTGGTATGTGCATAATTCCGACAGCTCCAGCACTGTTTCTATGTAACCTAACCTGACATCCTTGTCCTCCCAGAAGATCTCCTCTGGGTCTGATCCATCATCTTGGTAGTACCGGTGGGGACTCGAGACATCTTGGCGCAACTCACCTGTACGTCATTTTGGGAGATGAAACCGTTAGATTTTAAAAAAAAAACACTTTGTTTTTCTGAAGGTCAATGGTAAGCATACATTAGATTTTTTATCAATTGAATATTACATTGCATTGGGCTCTTATTTTCAGGGCTGTCGTCATCTTCATGGAAGAATGGATCAAGAATAGACACAGGACTGGGTTGCTCTTGCTTTTCATGGTTTTCCTCTTGTGATGTTGGTCCAAGTGACGCGCTTCGTCTGGGAGTTTCTGGCTCTTGGTGCTCTAGCATCTTGACAACATTCTTAGGGGAACCTGGACAAATCTCAGCATGCTCTTTACCTGGTTCTGCTGCTTCCGTCGTTTCCTTCAATGCAGACATTCAAAATTTTCATTAAACTAACACATCAATGGAAACTAGATGAAATAGCAATAAATATTGTCTTGAACATACTGGGGGTGAGTTATATTTGTGTTGCTCTGCTGAAATGCATTGCGCATTCCGAATTGCTTGCGAGTGATCCAGATTGTCAATTTCTTCAATACAACCAGTATCGAGTTCAACGTCTGCAAGTATTCATATTCTGTTAATATAATATCCATGCAGTATTTGATAATTTTGTATTCTGTAATCACTCACCTTGTTGTGTGTCTTCTTCCTTGTAATGTTTTTCTTGATCAGTTTTTTCAACCGGTACTTCACTAGTACCACACTCAGCACTCCCTGAATCTTCCTCTGATTTATTTCCTTCTTCCGCAGATTCTTCCCCCTCGGTCTTTTGTATGGCACAAATATTTTTCTCTTCCTGTGAATGTTCAATACATTCTCTTACCCTTGGGGTACTCCCAGGTGATGATGGGGTACTGCACTGAGGGAGGGAAAGCATTCCTACCAAGGACCTTGAGACCTGAACTGCTGGACTTGGATACTTGCCAGTATGAGTATTGTCCTTCAGAATTTCTGTTAAATGTTTTTTGGCTTCTGCGTAGAAGGTGGATGCATCCTTTGAGGTAGATACGTCGCTGTTGAAACCACCTAGTGAATCATTTATTTGCTTGTGTTTACTGCTGTTTGAAGGTCGAGCATCATTTTTATCAGTAGCTGGAGGGGCCTGTCTGGAATCCTTTATAATTGTAAATGAGTCTCTGAGCAAACACGGATCTCTTTGTACATCATCTTCGTTCATCGGGGGTCTTCCTTCTCTAGTTTCTCCGGTCACGATTCTGAATCTTCTCCTGACTTCCTTAACTGAAAATGTTGAACATTCAGCTGCACTGTATTCTGGAGCTTGAATTCCACCTGATTGCCGATGGAAGGATGTCGATGCAGTTGCTTCTGTAGGATCAAATCCTCCCCTTGGATTTGGCTTCAGTATTACTATTTTGTTAACTGGCTGAGAAGACCTTCCTTCAGGTGCATGTGTTCTGCTTGATTTATCTTTCTTCCAGAAAAATATATTCCTGCTCTCTTTATTCTTTGTTTTGATAGCCAACTCACGCTGATTTGAAGCCTTTGTATGTTCAACAACGTTTGTTTTTTCAAGCATTTTCTTGGGCTCGAGCCTGGCCCCTACATGTCTGTTGCAAATATATTTGTTGTCAACAAGCTGCTTTTCCTCACTCACCGGTGTTTTCTGATAATCAAGGTCACATGGAGGATTGTTATATTCATTAATCTTTGTATGTATAATGGACTCTAATTCAGGGTATAATTCACTCGTATTCCTGCAATCATCATGTGGCCCTTCATCGTGGTACTTATAGACCTGTCCCATGAAATCTGACAAAGCAAGCTCAAGGCCATCTTCTTCTGCCTGTTTCATGCAGTTGGAACCACCGGGATCAAAGGATCCAGAGGAAGAAGCAATGCCGATGCCAGGGTGGGGACTTGCGACGCCATTTGGTTTGCTGTTTTGCATTGCACCTTTGTCCAGACAGACATCATGTCCCAGGTCAGCCAATATTCTTCGAACTTCATCATTTGGAATCTTCTTGGACTGTTTTAGCTTTCCCAGCTCGCCCTCCATAAGTCTTTTAACAGTTGGCTTCGTAGTACTGCGTTCCTCCATGTTCTAAGAAATATAAGACCAAAAATGAGTTCTTACCAGGAAACAAGTAAATCTTATTTTGTTATGTTAGCATGCACTTGGAAGTAAATAAAAAAAATTACTCCCTCCTTCCCAAAATATAAGGCACGGTTTGACTTTTCTGGTCTTCGTTGCACAACTTTGACTATATTTTTTATGTATTATATGTCTATAAAATTATTATACATACATATGAAATAAAATTGCTTTGCAAGACAAATACAGCGATGTCATTTATACATGTTCAATCCATATACTTTGATATATATTAGTGGTCAAAGTTGTGCATCAAAGACCGTAAAAAGTCAATCGCGCCTTATATTTTGGGAAGGAGGGAGTATCTTGTTTCGGTTTGGAGTTGGAGACAGTAACTTGCAACCGAATAGGTTGTAAGTAATGCACTTAGGTTTTCAGAAGGTCAACAAATTCAGTTTCGGCACAAACGACACAAGCAAAGCTTGAACAGGGTCTGTATTGCATCAAAGGGGGGCTGAATGATGGTTCTTCAATACAAGTCCATGCATAGCAAGCTATGCTTGTTGACATATCAGAACTGCTTTTTCTATGTTTATTGTTACTCAACTTATATTAAACTACACTTTGCCTTGAAGACTTGCTGGCTGCTATTAAAACCAAGTTGACACTTTCAATTCGACAAGTCACAGCAACTTTGTTATGCAAGTAACTTGCTTGCATCTGCTGCATCTTTGTGGAGTGGTGGTGTCAACGAAAGCACTATGCTATCTACAGTAAGAAAAGTAATAATATATCTCTTTTTTCACTCTTGAAACCGCATCGTTTCCATTTGCTAATTGCTGTAGAGAACTTACATCTCCGCCTTCATCTGGTTCCTCAAAGTCTGTGGACTTGTTTCTGGAGTGCCCTCTTCCTGCAACCATGCAGGGTGCATTAGCAGCAGTACAAATTAATCCCAATAACAGAATTTACAGCCTGCCTGATTGATGCATTTCCCGAATGCCTTGGTATTTCCCAGTTAAATGTAGTTGGATTTGTTGCTAGTTTGTAGCATAGAGAAGTGTGAAGCGAAGGACGGACACCATGGATTATAAGAACTGAAGATGGTAGTATTGACACAATTAATACAACTGTTGTTTGTAAACCAAGGGAAGTACCAGCGAATCCGCTGAAGGAGTGCCTTCTGCTCCCTTGCTTTCTGTCGAGGATGAGCTTGGGGTCGCGGCGGGAGTAGAACATGCGGATGAGGCCCCAAGTGCAGCCTACATTGTTCTCTTGGATCTGCGTAGCCCGTCTCCGGCTCGTCTTGCCCATTCTGGGATGGTTCCTTCTGCCTGCTCTCTGAACTCTGAAGTTGAAGTACCCAGCAGTATCAGCTGTTCAGTTGATGGGTGGGGCTGATTAATTTTCTTGCAGCAAATCAAGCGAGCCTGGTCGCAGAAAATGTCTGCACTCTGCTGCAATTAGATGAACAAACAAAATCAGAGTTGGCTGCAAATGAGCATGTTGTGATTGGCATGTTTCACTCTGGTTGGGCTCTGTTCTGACCCTTGTTACTTTTCTCTGCTATTGTAGTAATCACAGGAACGGAGCTGGGCATGCGAAGCCACCGCAGAGACAACTCGTATTATTATGGTTCCAAAACAAACAAGGCAAGAGCATAACAAGAAAGAATTACTCACGGCGCAGCAGGGAAGAAGATGAAGAACCGCCGCTAGCTCCGAGCCCGAGGAGGAGTCCAGGAGATCAGCAACCAACCATGAGAAGTCTCTGACCATGTGAAGGGATGCTACGGCCAGCTGCAGCCAGGCTCGCCGACGACGGAAGGAAGGAAGGAATCAGAAGGAGAAGCCTTTCTTGCTGGCTCGCACAGGCCGGTGCCAGTCAGGTCAGTCAGTGGCACGCCATCCTTTTCATCGTCTTCCCCTGTATGTGTGCCTGCCGGCCTCTCTTTGCGCTTTGTGGAGCTGGTGTGGAGGGGCAAGCAGCACAGCTATGGCGACGGACAGTTGTAGCTGCGGCACATGCCATGGGCACGCATCAAGGTGACCACACACACGCACAAGCAGCAGGCAGGCACCAGGCACGCATGCTTTTTCCCCACCCCGCTGCTCTGCAGGAAAAAGTGGCAGGATCAGAGCGTTTGATTGATAATTGTCCTTGAAGCATATGTATTCCTGTAGCAATGATCCAGCCTTGTGGTAAAAGCATCCCACTACCAATTTGTTTATTTCGTGATTTGTTGGGGGCACGGATCAATCCTCCGTACATCCATATCGTTTTAGTAAATTGCTGAATGCATGGTCGTGTTTTTCTTTACGGAAAATGTAATTTTTTTACCTTCTTTATGGAAAATGGGAATGGATGCGTGCATGTCAGGTACGTGCTGTGGCTGCGATCGATGGAGTACGTAGTGTAGCCGGCACACGTAGCCCTGCCAGCGTAAAAGGCACCGACCTCCGTTCAAACCGGCCCACCTCTACCTCTCTCTCTCTAGGCTGGCTGCACTGCGGTCGGTCTATGTTCATGCGATCATGTCCATGCCCGTCTAGTCTAGTCTCTCTCTAGTCTAGTCTCTACAGCCAGCGGCCCTTGTTTGCGCTCTCTAGTCTAGTCTCTACAGCCAGCGGCCCTTGTTTGCGCTGGCTGCCTGGCCAACTAGCGGACCACACGAGAACAGAGGATACAAAAAAAGAAAAAGAAAAAAACAAGGGACGAGCAAAACGTGGCCGCACCGCACGGACGGCTCCATCATCAGGCTGGAACAGCAGATGAAAATGGCACTGTGACAGCAGTGTACCGTGAACATCTGCCCTTGCTGTGTACTCTAGTAGTAAATCTGTACCTCTCCCTCTGTAATCCGCCCCCTAACCTCTCTTCTGAAGCCACTGTCTGTCGACCCGCCTCTGCATCTGTACGCCAATCGCTACCGTTGGGTTGCTGCTACTCCCTCCGTTTGGAATTACTTGTCTCGGAAATGGATGTATGTACAACTAAAATATGTCTAAATACATCCACTTCTGCGACAAGTAATTACGAACGGAGGGAGTACTAGTTAGTGAATACACAGTCTAGCAGCGGTCCAGCGCGGCGGCGCTGGCCTCCTCCCTCCGCCGGCGCTTCCTCGCCCGCCGCAGCATCTCCAGCGCCTCCACCTCGCCCACCGCCTCCTCCGCCGCCGCCGCACCACCGGCGCCACCTGCACCAGACACACAGTCACTCCCACATCACATGGGTTTACAATTCACAGCAGCGTAGAGGGAGAAAGGAAGTTCAGTTCAGTTCAGTTCAGTTCCACGGCTGGCTCTACCTGCTCCGGCCTTCAGCATGACGCCCCCCTCCTCCTCGTCCGAGTCGATGACAATGGTCAACGTCGCCTGCATTTTGTATTCCATCCGCAACAGCCATCAACATCATCGTCATCATCATCGCACAGAAATATAACCGCAACAACAACTTCACAGTTCAACCTACTGTTTATTACCACTTGATTGATCAACAGGGGCAAACTAAACTACAGAGCATTCATGAAGCAGCGGCAGCAAGCATGATCGCGTAAATTCAGGCAGTAAATCATTCATGTTCTTCTTTCAGGACAAAATGACTCGGTTAATCAGTCAAGTTCTTCTTTCAGGGCAATTGTTTCAGTTCATCAGTGGTGTTGTTCTTTCAGGTCAAACCATAACAATTTAGCTAGATAGCAGCATTGTGTTAGGCGATCTCATCTCTGATAGCATTTACGGTTGTTTGGTCAAGCTAGAAACGAGCAAGGTTGCGGCGCGGGTTACCTTGTTGATGGGCGCCTCTTCATTGTCCTTCTGAATCGCCAGCTCTTGCTCTTTAGGTGGCGCCGGCCTGCTGTCGCCTGAGCCGTCCAATTTCCGCGCTTCTGTGGCGGCCTTTGCCATCCCCTTCTCCACATTTGGCTTCACACCTTCTGTCTTCCTGTGGTAAACCAAGGGTGCAGGAGCGCTGGCACTGACACTGACAGACAAACAAGCCTCATTAGTAGTAGTAGAATCTCGAACCAAACAGGAACAGGGAGAACTGAAGCAAAGTGGAGGCAATATAACTGAAACACACCAATCTGATCTTGCTGTCAAAACAGAGATAACACTCTACTGTACAAGCATTAGAATACTGGACATTTCAAGATTTCCATTGCCAGAATTAACTAGCTTTGTCATGAAAAAGAAGACAAGTTTAATACCCCTTTTGGAGCGGCATGAGAGTATCTAAGCTTTCCCCTCTTGAGGATTTCAAGATTTATAGGTTCAGTTTGCGTTTCGATTTTTCATCAAGACAATTTTCACACTGATGCCCCATACTACAGCAATGCATACTAGTAGTTATCTAACAACTTGGATATGTAAGAAGCTGAGGTTAGAAGATTACGCTTGTGTTACTGGTACTACTCGGTTCATCAGGGCCTCTCCATTTGCCTCGGGTTTCTGGTTCATCTGCGGACTTGCATCTGCTGTCTCTGCTTGTTTCACCTGGGGCCTTCCATTTGGTACTGGTCTTTGGTTCCTCTGGGGCCTTCCGTTTGCTACTGGTCTTTGTTTCTTCCTCTGGGGCCTTCCATTTGCTACAGGTGTTAGCTTCTTCCTCTGGGACCTTCCATTTGCCGCTGGCCTTTGTTTCTTCCGCGGCCTCCCATCTGCCACTGGTCCTTGGTTCATCAGGGGGCCTCCATCTGCTACTGTTGTCTGGTTCATCAGGGGGCTTCCATAGGCTACTGGTGTCTGCATCATCAGGGGGCTTCCGTTTGCTACTCTTGTCTGGTTCTTCAGCAAATAAAGGGAAACAGAATGAGAGGAGAAAAGTACTGAAAGGCTTGCTAATTCAATTAGTTGAGTGACAAGTACACGTACTGCCAGCATTTGCATCTGGTCAAGCCTGGTATCAACAGATCTGACAGCTCTAACCATCCCCTGTCCAGATACAAATAGGCAAAGGTCAGCAAAAACCGCATTAGTTGCTTTACTCTAGTATGTGAAGTGATGGGGTCTTAGCATGCCACATGATATACAAGGTTGTGCATGTTCTTCAAAAGCAATCTTTTAACTTCAGAGTAAAATGCTGAAAAAATAAGCCCTAGTGTAGACTGAGAATTTTTAGTGTTAGATATCTTGAATAGACAACGGAATTACGCTTCCTGAAAGAAAAATAAGATATAGAAGAAAATGGTATGAACCAGCTTATATACGCCTTCATAGAAACTAAGCTCACACATATGGACATAAGAGAGAATTTTACATGGTGGTAAATCAGCAAGATAAGATAATTACTTATATCTGCTCCTCTTAGTGAGCTTATGTAATAACTGAATCTGATCTGAATTTGGTTTCATTAATATAATGGAACCGGGGAAAGGCTCCCTGTTCTTCTAAAAAAGATAATTACTTATATGCACAAGCCAGCCATCAGAAGAATTCCCAAACACAAGTGAACCTAACAGAGTTGTATCAAAGCTAGTGGTCGATCTTAGCAGTAGTACCTCCATCTCCTTTGAGAAAGTTCTGAAGATGTCAGCCTTCAGTTGCCCCAGTTCTCCTTGCACATGGTTTGGCAAGACTGAAAGTAACGAAGACATCTCATCCTGTTTGCTGGCGAGAGAGTTGAGAACACTCAGTTGGTCAGGATTACTTTCTGTGATTTCTTCAACGACTGCTTTGAGATCATCTTGTTCCTTAAGCTGTGGTACCACGTTTGGATTAATTAAACTTTGTTGCCTCAGCAAAAAGAAGCAGCGAAAAAAGGACTGAACCAGCAACTATCCTTACAATTTGCTTTAGAGAGTCCTCTAGGAGCGCAAACTTTTTCTGAATGCTACCAGCTGAACAAAGTGAATGCATGCTCTCATTAGTCGATGATGTACTATTTGTGGGAAGTAACAGAATTAGAGTGCAGAACTCATGAAGAAAATAGCAGCAGTTACTATTGTCCTTATTGATCTAAAATACTCCCTCCGTAAAGAAATATAAGAGCGTTTGATCACTACTTCAGTGATCTAAACGTTCTTATATTTGTTTACAGAGGGAGTACCAATTAGAGGGTTACTTACAGTCCAGTGATGCCTCCTTCATGGCTCTGTTTAACTGCATCACATCATTTTGCACTGAGTCTAATATCATTACCATCTTATGTACTGAACTGGCAAGATGCTGAAATTTGCGCTCAACTTCTTCATTAACCTGACCTGTCGAAACAACATCAACTGGCACTTTAGTCGAAATACACTTCCAGGTATATCATGACAATGTGACAGCTTAAAATAAATCTAGAGTCTACGTTTAGAACAGCTTCAGGTGCACTATCTGTTTAAAGCATGTACTATTTGACCTTACATGCCCAGTTAATGAGAGAATTTTTGTGAACCTATTCAGAACACCAAAATTAGTGTGCTTGAAGAGCATGTGAACTGTTGTTATGGTGATGAATGAAATGCACTTTCCCGCAAAAGAAAAATGGATAAAATGTAAATTCTGTCAGGCGCAAGGGCTTGAGTTTACATCTGCTATCCGGAAGAGAGGGGCTCCAGCGGTGGATAGGGTTGGTTGGTATCTTTGTCAGTTGCAGCTGAGATTCCTCGCGCACACAAGAAGCTGAACTGGCAGGATATGAAGATGTCCTCTTCGACGAGTCCTGTTGCAAGGCAAATCTCTGGTCACCAAAGAAAAGAGAATGGAGATCACAATTGGGCAGCAGATAAACAGTGTGCACATTATATAACTTTTCTGAAGGAAGGCACCTTCTGTAACAAGCAAATATAACAACAAACATAGTTGTTCTCACTCAAACATTTATTAGGACAAGAACTGTTGGTTTGGGCATTCCCTCTGCATTGCCGAATATGAATAAATCGTAACTGCATACTAACTGTGCACAGAACGGGGTCAATTCCGACAAATCATACAAATCAAAATCACCATTTCAAAGAGTCTAGCAGAAAAGGATCACATGGATGTCGTTCCCCTTACACTTTCAGTAAAATGCAGTACATGAATGCTCGCGTGCACCAAATTGAGATACTACACTTGGTTCACTAATTTGCCCAATGAAATGGCCACTGCAGTGATTTAAACTATTTCTTCAGCCTACCAACAAGCACAAGCAGATTCAGTGGAAGCGACTAATTAACAGTAACCAACACCAACCAATTCGATGCAAACTCGCTACTGCAAGCAACAGACACGAGACCGTCATACCCGACATGCTAGTGATCCACTGATCCAACAAATTCACCGAACACACTGATCCTGTGATCCAAGCGGTACCGTAGAAGCAAACGCGGCCTCGATCATGGATCATGGATCAAACGCGGCAACAATTGGAGAAGAAGGAGGGATGATGTGTACGAGACCTGGTCGCGCGCGGGAGCCTGCGAGAGGAGGCTGAGGAGGTTCGCGTCGAGGGAGGCCTGCGAGAGCTGCGACTGCGCGTGCACGAGCGGCGCGCTGCCACCGCCCTGGGAGAAGGACGCGCCTCCGCTTCCACCGCCCTGAGAGAAGGCCGCAACTCCGTTCCCACCGCCCTGAGAGAAGGCCGCGCCTCCGCCACCTCCGCCCTGAGAGAACGCAGCGCCTCCACCACCTACGCCCTGAGAGAACGCGGCTCCTCCGCCTCCGCCGCCCTGAGAGAACGCGGCGCCTCCGCTGCCGCTGCCCTGCGAGAAGGACGCGCCTCTGGCCTGGGAGAAGGACGCGCCTCCGCTGCCTATGGCCTGCGAGAAGGACGCCCCGATGCCCTGCGAGAACGAGCCGCCGCCTCCACCCTGCGAGAAGGACTTCTGCGACATCGACTGGGACCGCTGCTGCTGCGCGGCCGCCGCCGCCGCCGCGGAAGCAGCAGCAGGCGCGCTCATCCCGCCACCGCCACTGCTGCTCCCTCCTGTCCTCCTGCACCACCAACAAAACACGCCACGGGCACGAATTAAACCAGGCACGCCTCGGAACGAACGGGAGCGGCCGGCGGCGAGAGGGGAGGGGAATTGGGCGCGGATCGGCCTGGGCGTACCGGGGAAGGAGGACGGAGATGGAGGCGATGTCGCACGCCTTGTTGATCTTCAGCTTCATCGCCCGGCCCCGGAGCGGGCCCCCGCCGAGGAGGTCCCCGGCGGCGATCGCCGGCGGGGAGGAGGGGAGCGACGGATTGGGTGGCGGTGGTGGTGGACTGGTGGTGTTGGGGAATGGGGGGACACCGAGGAATTGGAATTTGAATCCTCTCTCTGCTGCTTCCTGGCTGGTGGGCCCCCCTCGCACTGGCCGTTGCCTTATAGGCAGCCGGCCATGCGGGCCCAGGCTGGCAGCGTGGGCGGTGCGCGAAATGGTCTCGGGCTGCGTTGCTGCACGAACTGAGCGATGAATACCATCCGGCCCAGAACAGCGTGGTTTCTGCTAGGCCTTTGGTTGAGGCCCAGCGTGGGGCTCAGAGTCGTCGCCTCAAACGGAGTTGTTTGACTCGAAAAAAAAAGAGTGTAGGATGTCAGCTCTACTCACTTGGGTGGCAAAGTCATCGGCTCGGCTGGTGACCGGGCCCAGGACCGATGTGGATGTGTTCTTTGTATGCTGGGTTGGCGGCTTCAAGTCGTGTTGTAGGGTGTCGATTCCGGTCACTTGGGAGGCGGAGTTGCCGGCTTGACTGGTATCCAGCCTCGGGGCTGGTGTGTATTGCTCGGTTGTATCCGTTTTTTGGTCAATTCATTTCTTCTATATATAAATGTCGAGCTTTGCTGTTGTTCAATCTTTTTTTGCAGGATGTTGGTACCAGGGACGCTCCCGATGACAGGTTCCTCACCCACAACGTCCCGTTCTATGCGAGGTGCGCCTACTCCCTGCTCTCCTCCGCCGACGAGCTTGATTTCCACGCCGACCGCATTTGGAGTGCCAAGGCAACTATCAAGGTCAAGATTTTGGGCTGGCTCTTTTCAGGGATAGGTTCAACACGAAGGCGGACTTGCATCACAAGACCATCGCCTCCGACTCCTCCTGCCCGAGATGTGCCCACCACTTCGAGGACGCCTCGCACCTGGTCATCTCATTCCCTAGGGAGGTCTAGGTTTGGCGGCTATTGGGCCTTCACCCTCGCTCCAACATCAAGCACCTTTGGGATACTGCCACTCTGGGTGGCCTCGACATCAACCTCTGGCCCACGTCGTTCTCGCCGCCCTTTCGAAACTCTAGGACACCCGTAATGCGTAATGCCCAGGTGTTTCACTCAGAGATTCATTCGGCTATGGATACCTCATAGAATGTAATCTCTGATTTCATGGTTTGGGGCTTTTGGTTCAAAGACCAGATTAATAGGGACGCCCCCATGTCTTTGCGCCTTTTCCTCACCTCTCATTGTACTCTTTCTTTTGAGTAACATATTCAGGTGGGGTTGCTCCCCCCGCCCCCTAATTGTTCAAAAAAACGCAGAGCTACTTCCATTTGTTCAAGAAAAAAATCAGGGATGTGTGATTGAAACTAGCTTGTTCTACTGATCCTGCTTGTCTGAAATGGTAAGCATTAAACTTTATACAAATGAACTGTTAATCCAAATATTTAGGCCATAGTTTGCAATGTTGTACTAATAGCCAGGCGGAACCAGTTCTTTACTTCTTTTACATACAGATGTACATGTTGATCTTACTTTACCTAGCGATAGGACATAAAAAATTTACTTTTACAAAACAAATTTACACTGCTGCATGCATTTCCATTTTAGAACAAATAACATAGGAGAGAAGAAAACATGACCTATTCACATCATACAGAAGCAGACCTCCCAAGTCCCAACCGATATGCCTTCTCCTGAGGCAAACATCACCTATTCACATCATCTCAGAAGGTCGCCGGTCCTGAGGCAAACCACGGAGAAGGCATGCTGAAGGGCGTCATGTTCTTGTTCAGGAACAAAAAGAGGTGATCGTCCTCTCCAAGAAGAACAAGAAAAGGCAGGGACGCCTCCAGATTCACTTCGAATGACTGGCCATAGACGAAATGCAAGAAATCGGCACTGTGGTCGACGAGGAAGTGGCCTGACCAACGCCCCGTGAAGCCCCGGTGCCTGTCCACAGCCGGGAATCGGGCACGTCGAAGGGGAAAGAAAGAGAAAGAGGCAGGTTTCTTCGTGAGTGTTTCTTTGCCCATAGCTGACCAGCTCGCAGACTTCTCCAGCACGGTGTTCCATGCAAAGATGGCGTCATGAGAGCAGACGTGGCACTTGTTGCTGAGCCTGGACCAGCGACAGGAATGCCACATGGCCATTTTGGCACTGTAAAATAAGCATAAAACAAGCTGTGATGATGCAAGGGCTTTTGAAACGGAGAAAAAAAAACACTTTGCCTCTTATATACCACTAGTAAGCGTGCACGTGCAACGCACGTCTTCATTAACACATACATTTGTACTTTACATTTCAAACATGCAAGGCAGAAAATAAATCACAATATAACATTACAATTCAATGACATACCATAGTAATTCAAAACTTAGAAAAATCATGTAACATTACTGAAATTACATAATCAACTAATAAGGTTCCAAAGTAACATGAGAGGTAAATGATATGACAAAATAATATCACATGAATTTTGATTTTATTAATTTATTTTTTATATCTCTAACTCAAATGTCTAATTCCCCAATACATCTAGCAAGACCTCCAAGTCTGGTTCATCTAAGCAGAGCAAAACTTCCTCAATAAAACATGCACCACCACCAAATATCTCATGGGTGTCTTCTCCAAGGCCCCACAATCTTGACGGGACACTTGAATATGTTGCTGATTTCCTTGAAAGAAAATGCATGTTTTTTTATGAAAGGCCATCATGGCTAGCTTTATTGATGAAACGACAAGGATACATCTTCTACGAGTTTACGCACCAGACAATCTGGAGGCTCGTCAGTCTAACTAATAGACACTTTATTACAATAACTATAATTAGCTAGCACATGTGCCGCTTGATTTGCATAACGTAAACAATGCTTAAAATTGACTTTCCCAATCATCCTTGAAAGAAGACGCACGTCTTGATGCACAAGGCAAGATTCACTGGACAGACATCCAAGGTCCAGCCTACTTGAACACATTTTCCAACTTGGAAGTAGGCAGTAAAATCAAGAAAATACGAAGGTCATCCTTTTAGGAATTGGAGGTCCTCCACAAGGATTTCAATGTTTCTCTCCTCATTATTTTCGCCACTTGGGTATCATAAAAAGTGAAAAACCTTACATAAGTGTTAGTGTTATATAATCCTATTCAAGTGTTAGTATCATAAAATATTTTTTGATGACCCTTAACACTTCCAGAAACACTCACTGCCAAACATAAGAGTGTTCAGATGTCTTAACAAAAACTTGTAAAACTGGATAAACAAATTCATGGCATCAATATCAAAATTAACAACAAAAATAATGCTGAAGAAAATGTAAGCACAATTAAAATTGAACTAAACTTGACGTAATTCAAAATCAGAACCTTTATATGGCTGGCAATGAATCATCCTATATAGCAAAATATGAGTGTCGAACAAAATATCTCTCGTTAGGTACTTCATGAAATTTAACATCCAGAAACCACAAGTTGCATGCTTATGAAATTTTGATATGTTCAATAATAAACACTGATAAAAATCTTATTAGTTTTATAAAACTTTCAAAATAATTGTGATTAATACTTTTTAACCCCTTGTGACTTTATCAAACTATCACACCCACATAGTCAAATTGTACACACTTGATAAAAAAACAATTGGACAAAGTACAATGCTAAATACTACTTCCGTAAAGAAATATAAGAGCGTTTAAATCATTAAAGTAGTAATATAAACACTCTTATATTTCTTTACCGAGGGAGTACAAACTAAGAGCATCTCCAATAGCTTGTCTATACGGATGTCTATACTCGTTTTCCACGACGTGAGCTCAAAACAGGCGTCCAATAGCTTGTCTATATGGTCGTCCAAATATAGGGAAAATATCAGGTGATACCATGTCTTAGGTGCTCCCATGATACGAGCTTCTGGTCCGTTGGATCTCAGATCCAACGGCTCCTAGGAGGTTCTGAAAAGCTGCCGTACTTGTTCGCAATTTTTAGACTTTAAAAGGACTTTTTTCCAAAAAGTTGAAAGCCTTCCGAGAGCCGTTGGATCTCAGATCCAACGGCTCCTAGGAGCTCGTATTATGGGAGCATCTAAGGCTCGGTATCACCTGATACCTGCCCTCCAAATATACACATCCTCTATATCGACCTCGACAATGTCCACGCCTGGACAATGTGAAGGCGTTGTCTAAACTCAGCTGCAGTCATGATTTCTTCCTCTCCCCAGCGACGGCCCACCTGTCATGGTCCCTGTATATAGACATTCTAATGCAAAATTGGACGTGTATATGAGGGAATCTTTTTAGACCATTGTCTATATGAATATATAGACATCCAAATATGCACATGCTATTGGAGATGCTCTAAGTGACCAAAAAGTCTATTGATAAAAAAATGAATTGGACAACACCGACGCTAAAAAACAAACTCAAAAAAGAAAAGAAACGAAAAAGGCTCAAAAAAGGACACACCTGACTCTCCCTCATAGTTCTCCTCACATCGTCACCTACCTTCCCCACCCTTATCCATTCACTATCTCCCCACTACTCTCCATGGCACAAGCCCAGAGCTCTCTACCTCCTCGGGCCGCCCCTCCTCTTCGTCCCCACCGCCGGCGCGAGGACTCGCACTCTCCCCACTCTTCTCAGCCCCTCCTCGTCGAATCAGTCGCCGAAGTGCCCGAGGATCCGCTCGAGCTCGGCATGGTCGTTGGGTGCGGGGCGAAGGCCGACGCAGAGGCGCGGGACTCGTCTCCATCAGATCGGCGGGCGTGGAAATCATGCGTCGCAACCTCCGCGCCCGGTGCCTTCCTCTCCATCTCGCCCGTCGGCGGCTCGCACAACCCTTTGCTGTGCCCTGCCCTGCCCAGATACGGCAGCAGTGCCGCGGTGGCTGGTCCCCTCCAAGTGCAAACCGGCGCCATTAGAAAATCCATTCCCCACTTCAGCTTTCATATCTGCTTATTTCTGATTTGAGTTACTCCCCATTA